TTTTTTTTTGCATTTCACGCAACAGACTAAGCGATAAGGGTAAAGAATTTTGGGAATTTTGCTTCATTGTAAACTACGCTTTTCTGAGGAGTTTATGCGCTTACTCTGGAACTCCGCCTCTTCCGCTATGCCAATCCCAAGATGAACCGCGACCGCGACCTCCAGTATAATGTGCGCCTCTTCCTAAATAGACTCAGCTGTTCATTTATTCCTGCGTCTAGAAAACTTACCTCCACCGCCGCGTTGAGATGTGCTCTCAGAAAACTGTACGCGGTTTCTTTTTCCACGTGAGCGATTTCCTCTAACGGCATTAGCCGTGCTTGTTTTGGCAGCTTTTTGTGCTTGGTACTGCCTCTCTTTTTCATCATCACTGAATACTGCATCATCCTCTGAGGAGACTTCGTCCGTAGGCGTTTGCCTGAAAACAGTAACTTCTTGGTGCAAAGAATTGAGACATGATAGTATTGCCGTACTCGTTCAACTGCGTTTCAATAACCGTCTTAGTGTACTGCTCTGCTTTAGGGGCGTAGAATACCTTCATACCAACCTCCATCTTTGCAGCCTAAAAGGTGATTTAGGGAGACTGAAACTGAAAGCTGCTGCAGCGCAATAGAGAAGATTGACAAAATGAATGGCAGAAAAATGTATAATATCGCAGTTGCGACCTCCTCAAAACATTATATTGTTCTTGTATGTCTTACCATTAAACATTTTTAGGTCGTATAAGCTAGTCCCCAATGAAGAACTTCCTTTATATAGTCATACAAGCATATTCGCTTCCAAAACTCTTTCCAATCCCAGTTTCCGCAAGTGCAACGAATCCCTTACCTCTTCTTTCGTATTATATCTCACTGAATAGAATGGGCTTCTCACTGGGCCAAACAGATCGAAAACAACGCCGATGGAGTTGCGATCCTAAATAGATTCTTCGATTTTCAATACTGAGAGCAAAGCATTAATCGATTGAAAGAAGTAAGTAATTATAGATCATACCTTATCAAATAAGACGGAATCAAAGTCAAGCGCAACGCCAGTTTCCGACTGGATGACAACTGTAAAACTAGTATAAGCGTCGCGTAAAGTTGTAATAAATGCATACCCAAGCAATCCACAACGGAAGTCACATGTCCTACGACTTCAAGAGGTATGGACTCATCACAATGGATTGTAAGATTTTCCAAGGGTGGTAGAGTATCATACCTAGTTGGAAATGAGCAAAATTTCCAAAAACTGGGAATGCGAAAAGTTCGAATCAAATTTGGAATAAGTCCTACTCATTCGTGAGGTCGCTAGCATCAATGACTAGTTCTGTCTTCGATTTCTTCTTCTCAGGCACACCATCGGGGTGGTCTTTCTTGAAGGTCTTGATTCGCGTCTCACACGTAAACTTCTGGAGCCTGAAAAAGGATTCAGAGAGACAGTTCCTTAGAGAAGTGCTTATGCAGTAATCAAAATAGCTTCATAGCTCCACGCCGTCCATAATCCATAAAAAAACATGTAAGGGAAAAGAATATATTGAGATATACAGCCTGTGTCAATGATGTGCTCCCTTTCCGATCAGCTTCGCAAGGCTAGAACCCCATGCCGCGTTCGGAGTACCCCTTGAGCGTTCAGATCTGCCGCATCGGTAGGAGATCGCTGCGCATGTCCATGCGCGGTGCGTAGCCACTACGGAGAAGTGAGCCCATGGTTGACACAGACTGTCTAACCAGTTAAATTGGTAGAGATGACAGAGATTGAAGCAAAAAAATATATGAATGGACCTATTGAGCGAAAATTTCAATTATAGCCTAGCACACTGATAATT